CGTAGCTATTTCTATAACATGCATAAGCAGATACAACAACTGACCAATACCTTTAGAGGTCACAAAAATTAATAGAAGATATATTTTGAAACAAACGATAGCAAAACACTTTCACAAGTCGATTAAGCAGTGACGTGACAAAAAAGACCCACGATGCCGAACACCTAAAGTTTATGAATTAACAAGTAACTGCAGGTGACAAAGTTACAACAATGAACGTGACATGATAGACAATCACTTACCGATTCGTATGACCTGCTGGTCACTAAGGTAAAACTTTGACATCAAGTAAAAAAGGAAAAATAACAGTCTTTTGCGCGTATCCATGGCTTTGTAATCAAAATTGGTAAACATAAAAAAACTTCATGTCATAAAACTGGATTCAGGGAATCATAGCGCGCGCTCATCAACCATTCACCTCCCATCGCGCGCAATGGAAACAGCTCCTTGAAAAAGCCAGTTATTGCCTCAAAAACAACACATTATCATCCTTTACCGGAAAATCCACGATGTAATAGAGTCTTCAAGATATTTCAGGTAAGATTTTGTGCTGATATCCTCCGTTCATCGCTTCAGATACTTGTAGCACACCGCACGCGCATTGCGAGGATAGTAAAGTGCGCGTGCCAATGGCAGACACATGATCCAGACGCAGGATTAAAGCAAAATCTGTTCAGCGTTTTGGCTTTCTTCACGGTGTTATCTTCTTTTTTAAGTCTGCACATACTTTTTTCCAGGGTCTTAAATTCTTTTCGACTCCAAATAGCCACATGGAGAGAAGCCGTTTGAGGTAAAGTGAGCTGAATGCTGTCATGGGAACTTAAATAGTTGCTCTCATTCGCTTCATGTTCAAAAAAAAAATGAGAGTCCTCAGAATTATAGTGACGATGTTTTGTTCGCACGAAATGTTTTGAACCGATTCTTGATGTAATGGACTCAGTCCAAACGATTCGACAACCGTTGTAGAACACTCGACAGGGATGACTTTGTTTAGGAGCAAAAAAAAAAAAAAAAAAAAAAAAAAAAATGGAACACATGCTAAGTAAAAAAAATGTATTATTACTATTAGGATCTTATTAATAATAATAATAATAATAATAATGACATTCTAGTAATAATATTGTAATATTTCCACACACATTACAATATAGTTCGCCTATTACTAACTAAAATGTTGGAACAGTAATCACATTTGACATAATCTAGGCCTACATTGTGAAAACGTAGTGATAATCATCAAAAATCAAACGTAATACATCTGGAAACACTTGAATGACTTGAAGTTGGTCTTGTTCATTGAAACGAACCGATTCGGTAAATTGAATTGGACCAAAAGCTGACTTTCTTTTTGCCAAATGGTGAAGCAACGCCACCTGTTGGCCAAATCCTAGCCAATTTGCCTGGCAAAGGAAGAATCTGTAGATAAATGTCATTTTACTAAATTAAACATAATAATTAAAATGAAATTAAACCTCATTAGGATGTGAAGTCTTGAGTTGTGTGGGCTTGTGGTACACATTATTCTATACTTTCACTCTTTATTGTCCTTATGTATTAGAATTCAAAAAGACAATTTTAATTAAAGGGATAGTTCACCCAAAAAAGAAAATGTTGTCATTACTTACTCACCCTCATGTTGTTCCAAACCTGTATAGGTTTATTTCTTCTGTTGAACACAAAAGAAGATATTACATTAAAAAGAATATTGGTTCTCTAGAGAGTTAATGGCACACATTGTGTGGTCAACTGTCTGGTTACCAACATTATTTATAATATCTTATTTTGTGTTCAACAGAAGAAAAAAACTCATACAGGTTTTGGAACAGCATGAGGGTAAGTAAATGATGACATAAATTAAAGTTTTGGTGAACTATCCCTTTAAAAAAGGCTACTGTTACCAACTCATCCATTTTAACAATTCACTAATTCATGCATTTTCATGAGAGTCTATGCTGGCTGAGCTAAACATGAATCCAATGGTGGTTTCTTCTCCTGCCCTGCCCTGCCCTGCCGAGAAGGCCAGAACAACACTGCAACAGCCCAGCCATGCATAGCAAACACAAGGCCAGCCAGCCTACAAACAGAGCCTCCCCCATGTGGAACCGAATGGAGCTCAGACCATGATCGGCATGGAAGATGCTGAGTGCCATCCAGGACACAGGGATGAGAGCAGTGAGTGAAGCGAGCAGGTACAAACAGGCCGCTCCAACCAGGCAACACCTGGCACTTTCGGGACAGGTGCACTGAGTGAACTGACCCATGCAGCCGCAGCCAGAACCAAAGAGAGAGTTATGAAGTAGAGCTGACCACAGGGCTGGATCTAAATAGGCTTTGCATGTTAATGAACTGGCATTATGTCTAAAAGAACATTTTAGTCCATAGTCCTTCATATTCTGCACATGATTCAGAGCGTACAGGCAGTTTCCACCTCGGTATTCCTATGATCACGGCTACACAGACAAAGCCAAAAGAAGCAGAAATCAAAGCTACTATATCAACACAGTGGATTCTTCCTATCCTCCGGATGATAAATGTTTCATCTGTGTGATTCAACAACTCATCCATGATTTCTTAATATTGATGGTCAGCTGTGGCAGGTAGGAGAGAAGTTATAAAGTAGAATTTCAGTTTCAATTCTGGAGCATTTCAAATAGTTGCATTTATTGACAGATTTATAATTTGTTATGCATCATAATTGACTAGTCGGCAGCATTGTGTGGAAAGAATAGAAATGCATTAGAATTCGTTTTTTTTATAATAATTAGGACACATATCTCAATACTTAAGTAATTCTTTTCCAAAACCCTTCACACAGTTCTCTTAACCACCTCTCAGGTTGGCACAGCAGTTCATTTCACACAAAACACACCAAAACACTTCATTTATGTCTCAAATCAACTCATTCTTCTATAACACTATAAGATTGTCATCCAACAAACACAGTGTCACTAATAATTAAACAATGACCTAAAATACACTAACAACAAGAATGGCAGCCATCTATCTGCTGCAGTATATTACAAATGTAAGTACAATTTAAAAACATGTACACAAATGTATTGTATCAGATGATTGATTTCAGTTTCAGTTGAACTTTTCACAGTGATCACAGCATCCGTTTATGTGGGCTAAACTGTGGATAATTTATCATTGATTTGGCACAAAATGCATTCAATGATGGCATCTTTCAATTTACATGGATTCTTCTCTCACTTATACACAAACATTGCCAAAACTTTATGTACTACACAGGCCAAATTGCACTTGTTTAGATATTCTTTCAAAACCTAGCACAACACAAAAATGAACAAGACAGTAATATGATATTGAAATACAGTATATATTCCAAATATCTAAAAAGAAAAATCAAATAATATCAAAGCAATTCAATAAAACTGAATACCTAGTGTGAGTCGCATAATTTCATTACCATCTATACAAAAGTGGACCTTGTAATAATTTTGTACTGTAATGTAAACATGAACCGATACTGCTGTGCTTTAGTAGAGTGAATGTCATTCTGTGTTTAATGATTGACAAAGTATGTTTGTTGGATGACAATCTTTGCTAGTGTTAGAAGAATGAGTTGATTTGAGACATAGGAAATGTTTTGGTAGTTTTAGTGCATTTAGAAGGTGAAATTAACTGCTGTGCCAAGCTGAAAGTTGGTTGGGAGAATTATGTGAAGAGTTTTGAGAAAGAAACATGACCCAAGTTTTGAGAAATGTCTCTTATAGTATATAAAGTGGGTCCCTTTAAATAATAGGCCTTCGTTTAGACCAGGGCCTGAAATGAACACGCGACCACCTGCCAAATGCGGGTGAATGTTGATATTGGCAGGCGAGGCAACACTGTCAATCTACCTGCCACATTGGCTGATAGCCAATGAGAATTGAGTGATTTATTAGGATTTTTACATTTCAACGAAGTCCACAATTGCGTTAAGTTAGACTTCTTTTCAAAACTAAAATGTGGCGGCGAATTACTGGGGTAAAGAGGACAGCTGAAACAAACAACCAACAAAAAGATGAGGATGAAAAAAAGAAAAGTAAAAGATATTTTAAAACAAAGTGGACAATTGGCGGCAATGGCAAGGTTCATGAGCGGCTGATTTATGACAGCAACTGTTGTTTCGTAACGTTCATGTGATCAGAAAGAAGAACTGTGCATGTTGGGAAACGGTGAGAAAATATCCGGTACCCTGTAACTCTACCAGTAATAACAATATTAATTTACTTCATAGCTAACGGTTCCTGAACGCTGTAACTAAAAGCTGTTAAGACCCGTCAACGTGACTGTGGCGGATGTTGGTGAGCCTGGGTCAGGTCAGTTTGAGTTTTTATTTAATGGAATTTGTTTACAGTAAAGAATACACAACAACATTATTTTGGTTTAATAAACTTTATTTAAATTTTCGCTTGGAGTTAAGTGCGCACACTCTTTAACGTTTAGTTTAAGTGTATTCTTACCGTTCTTTTTGTTTGTTTGTTTGATACGTCTGAGTGAGCTGGTGCACCATCAAAAGGGGTTCGAGTGGAAACATTGGACGTATATATATGGTTCCGATGATCGGGCCACAACCATTCCCGTTTCTTCTCCGGGGGAACTCCAAGGACTTTTTCTTGCTTTTCTTTTGTTTGTTTATAAGAAATATATTTATTAGTGAAGTCATTTGATAGTATTATTTGAGGTGTTTATGTATATTGGGTGTTTTCATATTCTTTTATTGTGTGTAATGGCCATTATATGTCCTAGACGTATATCCATGAGGGGAAACATTTCGCAGGGCATCACTGCCACCTTCTGGTTATATGTTTTCTCCCTTTGAAGTTTACTGTCTATGATAGGGACCAATCAGGTTGCAGCCTCCACTGAATTAACCAAGTAAAATTTTCACAAGGAAGTAAGATTTCAGAACACCACCGAAAGCCTTTTCAGTTGTAGTTATCTGCTTTTGAAGAAAAATTCTCCCTTTTCTTTTATTTAACAAGACAAGCCACTGTGTTTAAAAACCACACCAAACTTTATTTAAAACCCCGCAAATGGGTACCATGTTGACAAAAGTACTGACCACATACAAAGTTATTTGGATAAAACTACAAATATAAATTAGGAAAATTTATTTTAGGATAATTATTTCCACAGTATGAACATACACAGTCTCAAAAAGGCAGAGGGTAAAAGCAAGGAGTTTTTACACTTTTCTCTTAAATAGTCATGGCTGAATTGGTGCAGTGATTGCATTTCACGTGGATGGGCGTCTCATTGTGTGTTTAAAATACACGTGCAGGGTTTAACGTGTTCCTCTGTTGTATCATTGTACAAAACACCATAAACAACTCTTTAAAATCTCATTTTCGCCAAGTATAAACAGGACAATTCTGCTACATTTAACAGTTTTGTTGGGGTGCTTCATATTATAATGTCTGGCTGTTGAATTTACAAGCACACCAAAGCCCATAGATGGAGGACTATGGGTAGTTTGATTTCATAACCGAAAAAACAAATCTTATCTTATTGCAGTTCTTACTTAAGTATTCAAGTACAAGAACATTTCTCTGCATGTTCGGTGAACAGTGATCTTTAATACTGGGTTGCTGGTGACCTATAAATAAAAGGGAACAAAGACAGCAAGCGAGGAACTGTTGGGTTTGTAACAGGAACGGCAATCAACAGCTAGTCGAAACTGTTGTTCCAGGGGATATTGCCACGTTCAACAAAATCACCTGCGTATAGCCATACAAAGAACTAGCGAAGTTATACGAAGCGTTAAATCACAAATCCCTGATTAAAAAAAAAAAAAAGAGGATATGAAGTACAACTGATCAGATCGACCACGATCTTGCCTTTAATACAAAACGACAACAAAAATAAAAGTTCAACTAAAAGAACATGTAGCTGCCTGTTGTATGTCAGTATGAAGCCTCTATAAATACATTGGCTGTACAGTTGCCGTCTTTGAATGAAACTGGATTCAAATGACAGTAAGCCTGTGTTAAGGGTGGAGTGGTTTGAAGCATCTCAAGAAGTTTTTGTGGTGCAAGTTTTTCAGTTCTGGCTAGTCAGTAGGATTGTCAGTGCATCGTGTCTGTATAAGGCTTGGACTCAGCAGGTATCTGCCTTATTCTTGCACAAGTTCACAGTTCGCGTATTCTCTCTCCGCTCAGAAGATGTCACTGTTGCAGCTGTTTTTAAAATCGTCCCTGCGAACCCAAATAACCTCACAGTCCCTCTCGGAAGCGACACCCTCCACTGCGCACTGCTTTCTCAGGAGGGTCAACTTTGGGGGGGCTTGGGATTTGGGAGATTTGTCCTCAGAGAGTCCGTTAGGATCCTTGACTTCCTCTCCTTCCACCGAAAGGGCCTCGAAGGATTCCTCCAGGCTCGGATCAGCGGAAGGGGCCCGGACGGACTGGCAGTACTCGTCGTCGTCGCTGAGGATGTCCGTCTCCTTCACGTCATTCTGGTTTTCGTAGTGCTGCAGGTCAAACTGGTCCTCCACCCAGCGGTCTGTGTCCTGGATGGGCTGCTGGAGTTTCTGGAGTGAAGATGACAGCGGGAAGTCTGTCGGGGTCGGGGTGATGGGTGACAGGTCCTGGGATGAGCCGTCATCAAAAATCACACCTGTGTCTATGGTGAAACGATTACGGATCAGTTTCCGGCGGCCGAGAGTTCGAGATGGGTCTGAAACTGCAGATAAACAGTAAAGAGAGAGTGAATGCCAACTAGTTATTTTATTCAGTAGATGTTTGGGGGTTTTTTAAAAAAAAGGAAAGAAAAAAAAACAGCAATATCATCTGGTGGACACTAGGATTTAAATTTGTTATGTAATAATCAGCTCACCCTAAAGCCTGAGACAAAACTGCGGCTTTAATCATGTTAGCGAGAGAAAGACAGAGCGATATTGTGGGAGAGTTATCAGGGATATAGGAAGATGAGCAGAGAGAAGGAAAGTGTTGCAGAGAAAAGTAATCAATGTTCACTTTGCGTCAGACATCCGAAACCTACCCGCTCTGTTTATGGCCGGTCGTGAACCCTTTAGTGCACAAAGCCGTTTCCCTCCAAAGGGAATATACTGCTGATTTGGAGGTAAACTCTCTGTCTTCATTAACTGACGTCGTTGTTTTTCCCTCAGGATGGAATGAACTGTCTTTAGGAAGTCTTTTTTACTCTCTGGAGAGCTAAACAAACAACAACAAATTAAGATATTTTACAGAGGAATGGAAATATACAGTTTTAAACAATTTACAGTGGCCCCAAAAGAATGAAAATAAAAGTATAATTAATTATTCACCTGAACAGTTGATGGACCCCACTGACTTCCATACTATGAAAATAATATTCCACACTATGGAAGTCAATGGGGTCCATTAACTGTTTGGTTACCAACATTCTTCTAAATATCATCTTTTGAGTTCAGAAAAAAAAAACTTGTACAGGTTTGCAACAACATGAGGGCGAGAAAAGGATGACCATTTTAAATTTTGGGTGAACTATCCCTCTAAGCTACACTTAAATGTATGAATTCTATTGCATTGAAGTACTATCAAATTGCAATTATTTTATTTAAAGACAGATAGCACACACATTTTTCAAATCAAATTTTTCAAAAAAAAGTTTGAGACTGTAACAATGAAATGTCTCAATAAAGCTCCAGCAACATTTGTTATAAGATGCCACTTGGTTGGATTTTTTTGTTGTCTAATCAATGCAATGATATTTAAACATTTTTAAGAGTGTCCAAATGCTTTTTTGGCGCCATTATAGTTCTTTTTTTATTTAGATTGGCCTGTAAGTCCTATTTTACACAAAGATTACATATTATCTCTCTTAGAAATACCTTTGAGTTGAAGGACTAGAGCAATGAGATCATTATTAAGGGGATAGTACCAAAATAAATCTCATCATATGTCATTCCAAACCTGTAAGACTTCAGTTCATCTTTGAAACACAAATTAAGATATTTTTAATGAATGTTTCTCCTTTGTAAATCCACTAACCCAAAACTTTTCTTCAAAAATAACAAGGTGAAGTTTATTCTAGTGTAATGCCTCGGTTCAGATTACGATATTCACTGTGTCAGATTACACAATTTTGACTCCTAAAATAAAAAAAAATCTTCATTTGTGTTTCAAAGAAAGTCTTCAGGTTTGGAACAACATGAGTAATTGATGACAGAATTTTCATTTTTGGGTGAACTAAGTTCCTTGTGCGTTTAGTTTTTCTTTGCTTTAGTTTGAAGTCTATCTGTCAGTTTTCAGGGCTTAGGTGTGCATGGCGTTCTGGACTTCATCTAACCTGCAGCAGATGTGGAAGGTCCTCTCAGGTCTACCTTCAGATTCCGACCTCAAGTGAACAACCTCACACAATGAAGATCCCTCTGAATCTAAGATGAAAGAAACATCAGGTTTAATGTATGCTGGCAAAAGGACTGTGGGAAAGCCCATAAAAACCTCTTCAATGGTAGTAGTAGTACAATGAAAAACAGATCAGGACAGGGTTAATGAACCTCATGGAAGACACAGACCCTGGGACAATGAACAAGAGTGCAGACCCCAAGTTCCTGTAGGATGACCTTTGACTATCCACCATCAATAGGGAATAGCAACATTCTGGCCTAAGCCCAAAAAGCAGACTTTACTAAGCTCATCAGGGTTCATGGGATGTAAAATGCATTACTCGCACTGTGCTACAGCTTGAAGCTACTGTAATAAACCACACAATTCTCAATAGGTCTGTGGGAAAAGAAAAAGACTAGTAGACCAAAACATACTTGGGAGGTTGCGAACTTGGAGAGCGTCTGTAGAGATCATGTGTCTAAAACGAAACGGGTCTCGCTCCTCAAGGACTGACGCTCTGTGAGATCCACCCTGAGACAAAATAACAGGAGTGATACATTCTCCAAACCACATTATAGTTTTATAATATCACAAACAAGTGAAAGGATGATGATGAGTCCATGGTCACAGAGATTTGTTAGCCATGTGAAATAAGCCGAAGTGACAGCAGAAATTAATCAATTACAAGATAAGGGCGCTCTCTCAACAATGTGCCCTTCAATAAAACAAAAACTACACCTCTTAAAAGCGCTAGTCCACGAGCACTTAAACTTAGCTCTGCAAGCCTATGTCACATCTCCATTAATGAATAATGAAGAAAGGGAAAAAGCACTTACAATTTTTTTCTTGTGCTTGGAGCAGTCTTTATACACAAAAACAACCGCCGTTTTGAAAACTGAAAGAGAAAAAAAAATGAAATAAAACATTAATACAAGACACACAAAACCATACAAACATTCACAATAGAGAAGCTTGGGGCTCTTTTCAGAATAGTCGTAGTAAAAACGTGACCTGGTGAAACCGCCAACTTCAATGGCAAAATGACCCATTTTTAAAGAATCTGAACGGTTTCTTCTTCTAAAATGTCTCAGCCTGTATAAATGCATCTTTAATGCCTTAAGAGCCACAGGACAAGGTGGTTCCTCTAATGCCATTGTGCCCAAAGACGCAGCTGGCCTTTACTGATGTAGGAAACTATTACTGTAGGGAACAGACTAATGAATAAGAGAACAGCATTCTATTTGGGGAAAAAGCGCTTCGCGAGCACTCACCGAACGCAGCCAGCTCTGTGTCTCTCTTCCCCTTCATGAGAGAAGAGGGTGGGTTGATCCAGACCACAGTGTCGTGTAGCAAGAGGTCACCCATTGACAGATCAGCAACCTAGGAGGCAAGTAAACATCTGTAAAGCCAAATCTACTCACTTTTAGCGAGTTAGGTGACGTTTTCATGACATTTGGTGGTGGCAATAAACGAATTGTTGAAGCTTCCTAAGGGACACTCGATGGTACCTCTTTCTTCTCAGAGCTCTGCTCACTGATGAGTTGGTCAAAAACCGCTCCATACTCCTCGTGAATCTTCTGCATCTCATTTATGTGACTGGCCACTTTGTTCATGGCTTTCATAGCAACTACGAAAAGAAAAGAGACTCAGTAAACTGCACCTTAAGTCAATTATAGAGAGAGTTGCAAGCTACAAAGTCCAGCTGGGACTGGATTCATCTGAATCTTTTGCCACATTTAACATTTTGCTTTACAGTTGGTAAAGGTTCAGGACTATTTTCGAATTTAGAATTACACTGGCTCTTTTGTTACAGTAGCTTTACGAATATATGCAAATTATCTCTATTCTGATTGGCAGGGCTCAAGATTTTGGGGGCATAAATCTTGAAATGTGATTTAAAAAAGGTATAAGAATGCAAAATTGATATGCCAGAATAGCTAGTAGTAGTAGTACCAGTAGCATAAAATAGTGAATATTTCACTGTAATAAATTAAAACTGTACAACTGTAAAATTACAACAATAATATTTATAGGGATCCATCAAAGCTTCCCTTTTGTTGACAACAGCCGGTTTATAAGTGCTTATCATTACAAGTTTGGGAAGACGGTTGCTGCATGTTGCTTTCCCAAATGCAAGTTATGGTATGGTTTTATTATTATTTCTATTAAATCACACAGCTCTACTGATTGACTAATATTTACACATAGAAGCCAGTATAGTTTGCACTCGCTATGCATTGATACTGGGAAGAGCAAGTACATTTGCAAAGAGCATGCGAAATCCTGTTTTTTGTGATTTTTCTTGCTCATCATATTACTCTATAGATCCATTTGTGATCCATTCGTGGTCTGACATTAGCTAGTATAGTAAGTATCTGATTAATCATATTTACCATCCAGGTGGTAGTGTTCCTCGCTGTCTGGGTCGGTGAGAGAGTGAAGCTCCCTCAGGAGTAGTGGGTATTTTAGGACTCTCTGAATGGGTTTGATCAGGTAGGACTCAAGTGTGGAGGAATGCTGCTGCCTGGGGTTCCTCTCAGCCAGGAACGCCTTGAACACCGGGTCTGTTTTAGCTGCAACAAATGATTGGAGAAAATATTAGTCAGTCTTTCATTGTCTTTAAAACTTGAGCCACTTTTTCCACATGAACCATCTACATTCACATACATCAGTGAAAAAGCTTTGGCGCCTCAGGGAATTTTTTTTTTTTTTTTACAGTAGACCCATAAAAGGGGTCATCATTCTTCAGAAAAAAAAAAAAAACCTTTGGGGTACATAATTTCCATGTTAGAGAGTAAAAACACCCTCTAGCTTTGAATACATTCTGCAAACTGGCCTTTGTTAGGGGGTTGGGGTTTGGAAAAAGAACGAAGAAAAGTGGCAAACGTAGAAAGCGAGCAAGCACTTAAACTATCCAGTCATTGAACATGACACTGAAATGACAAGATACCTCAAGGATCTAAAGGCTTTCTTGTCCTTTAAAATCAGTGCTAAATGTAGTGAACCAGTCTCTGAGAGTGCAGTGGTGTTACCTTTGGTAAGGACCTTGGGGACCTTTGTGTGGCTGGCACAAAATGCACTGTAGATTTTAAAACGGTCCGCATAGTACAGGAAGGATCCGCCAAGAGAAAACAGAACTTTCTGAAAGTTAGAAGAGAATGAATTAGAAAACAAAGAAAGTTTCACATTCGTAGATAGTTTGTACAATTATTAGATAGTGGGCTTGTTTTGGTGTGCAATCATGTTAAGCATCTACTCAGACTAATATAATTGCACCTTGAACTGATCCACTCTCTCCAGTTTGTCTAAATCTGGAACTAATCTGGTTCCATCTTCCAGAGTTTTCAGAAACTCCACTTGGAATTCCACCATCTCCGCCAAGTTTCCAAAAAGCACATCCAGCTAGGAATATAAAGATAATCTTAAAGCCAATACCAATAACATTTTTAGAAGATGATAATATTGATCAGTTATTTTAGAATATCTATAATATCTCACCTCATCCTGAGAAAGGAAGCTTTGCTTCTGCAGGGGGTTCAGGTAGCGTTCTATCAAAATGTTCAGGTCCTGTAGAGAGACAGACTTTTTCATGATTTGGTTCAGTGCAGCTTTTACCAATCAGGAGTGACTTTTATGGACATTCAGGGCTGTTTCTATTTTAAAATAGAAACAGAAAATAGCTAAAATAGAAAATAGCTGTTTCTATTTTAAAATAGAAACACACCATGCTTTGAAAGCACAGCAGAAGATACTGACCTTAACATAGGTCCTCTCAGTGTCCACCAGCTCACTGATGACTTTACGGAGTTTATAAGCATCGGAGAGCTGGCGGGGGGTGAAGAGAACAGGCATGGGTGTGATGGGGCTGGGCACACATGATGAAGGGGAGGAAGATGTGGAGGAAGACGAGGAACAGAAAACGGGACCCTCGGTGGAATTCATGTCATGAAGGTTGCGGCAGAAAGCGGTCACCTGCTCCGTACTCTGTGGAGGGAAACGATTTCAATTGAAACACCAGAAACAACTAAAATAGCAGTAAAAAAAAGAAGAAGAAAAAAAAAGACATCTAATGATAAATCCAGTTTCAGACATTTCCATTTTGTCCATTTAAATTAGGTAGAGCAAATAGCAAAACATTGTTTTAAAAGACTAATTGTAACAAAATTAAATACGTTTAAAAGAAGCATTTGAGTGAAAAAAAATCTAAACACATAAATACATAATATGATATACAATACAATTACTACAAATATTATAATATATTTAGCACAAAACATATAACCACAATGCAAGAAATGTAACGAAAACTTTTTTTTCCAAATATGCAAAACAAAAAAAAACCCTCTAAAATGCTCACCAGCAACAGAGACACATTTACACGGGTATCCGGAGCATTTAAAAGTCAGGCAGAAGCATTTCCAGTTCCAAAACTAACAAATTCAGCAAGTTTCTGGCTTTACTCCAAAGACAAGGCACATCATTCCTTGTGAACGCTTGGGTAAAGTGCAATTAGACCCTCTTAAAGTTATTTACTGCACAGACACTTCTGTGTCAGATCTCTGAAAGGACAGATCTGTAATTTAGTACTGAACAGTTTGTCTCTTTGGGAAATCTGGCAGTGGACAGATTTTCCATCAAAGAGCAGGCCGCACACTGCCCTGAGCCATTCAACTCATTCACTCGACTCTTTCACTCTCTCATTCAACTAACTCAAATCTCACTCTTCCCCTTGTCCAACAGTCACAGAGAAAAATTACACAATAGATATTAATACACATCATCAAGCTTCCAAATACCTGAAAGAAAGCTCTTAACATCCACTTAAACGACACAAACCATGTCCAAAAAGACAGATTTCGTTCCAAAAGATCTTCAACCAGTGTCACATCTCGTATGTCACAGGATGAAGTTTAAAGCTGCAAGAGCTCATGTTCAGGGTGATGTTCAGGAAGAGGTGGAACAGATTCATGAAGACAGGAGGAACAGAGAACAGATGGGGCTTCCAGCTGAATGAGTTCCTCTCTGATAAACACACAGTGACGGACTGACAAAAAGCCTGCACACCCCAGCATGCCTTAACCAGCCTGGACAGCCAGGAGAGAGGTGGAGTAATGTAGGGAGATATGGAGCTCTATCGTTTTTTTTCCGGGCTTTATTTACAAGATTTGTCGGTTAACAGAAAATGGACTCTTGTTCTGTGAACACAACATCAAAAAACATGTACAGTAATGCACCTACAATTACAGTCTTTAGGGACAAAAGCTGTAAAGGATCTAAATCACTGTGAGTTGTAACTACTTGTCTAGGCTGAAGATTTTCTGGTTACACGTCACCGATGTAAAGGTCCGATCATACTAGTGAAATTTCGGTGAAATTCTACACACACAAAAAAGATCCATTGTGATTAGTGTAGTAATGAAGCACCGCTCACAAGCAGAGACCCAGTAATTGTTTACTAAAATAAGTACATAGTATTTACATGGGAAACTGGACCGTAAAAGGAAGCGTTACCGATTTCTGTTGGTCAAGGTTGCAAACCCATTGGCAAATCTGCGCAAGGAACTTTGCCTCATTGCTAAATTTGTAAAAACAGAACGACAGTAAATGTGGCCATTCCAGTAGTTTTAAGGGAGAGATGTTAGGCCTGGTTTCACAGGCAGGGTTTAGATTAAGCCTTAATTAAGAAGATAAATAAATGGGACATATAAGTTGCTTTTATGAACATGCCTTAAAGAAAAACATTAAAAAAACAATGGCACGGACATATTTTAAGATTTATATATTTCTCCAAAGCACTCGTATGATTTTTTTTTTGTACAAAAGAACGCTACATGAGCTGTAAAATGGTTTTTTTTTTTTTAATACTCCTTTAAAGAGGGACTAGTTTTCCAGGTGGATGAATTTGTTTATGCTCAACAGTTAGAATCTGTTCAATGTAAAGAGTGCTTTGGTTAGTTAGCTACCTCATGTCTTTTCACACAAAAACCAAACGCAATTGGAAATTCCTTTTCAGCTAGTCATGACATGATTTGAAATATTAGATATAACTTTGCAAAGACTGGCTTGGTAAAAAAAAAAAAAAAAAAAAAAACACCCGCCACTGCGCCTCATGCTAAAACATGTGCATGCTACAAATATACTACCAAAACACATATAGTTTTTTTGTCTTGCTACAGTACAAATCAACTATTTTATAAGGTAATTGGATGTATTATAGAACACAAGGTGTATTTAGCCCAGAACATCCCAGTTTAAAAGCTTAAATTCTCCTATGGAACATTACACATCTACACGTACAGTAACATACTAAGCCGCTAAATCTAACAGAATACACACAGTGTGTTCGAAAATGGAGCCCATGAACTGTTATGTAATGCTACATATCACACACACACAAAAGCAAACACACTCAGGCTCACCAATTGCAGCATGTCATAGATGGACTCTGAAGAACGTTTGGAGCTCCTGTATCTCCACAGCACAGACATTCTCAAAGTTCACAGAAGTCACAGCAGGGCGACCCGTAATAAAACACAGGAAGCGCCTCAACCTCAGGCTTATCTTTGCATGCAAAAACGTGTCACTACCAGACCATGAGAGCGAGGACGGGGCTTCTCCGACCAGAAACAGATACAGCGAATGAGTCTTCTCCACTACCAACTCTACATGCCACGATAGCTTCCCTGTCCAACACAGCCTCCTCCCTCCTTTCCTAGAATTTCTCCCTACGTCTCTGCTTGTCTGAGCTGGTTTCTAGCCGGATGGATGGAATGGGGATCTGACAGCTGTGGTGGCACAGTAAACACACACAGAGAGAGAGAGAGAGAGAGAGAACAGGAGAGAGAAAATAATAATCTTGTCTGCAACAGGATGAAGATGACAGAAGGGGAGGGGAACACTGGGACACAACAAGCATCACATCATAACACAGCTGGGAAAAGCACAGCTTTCTCAGGTGAAAACGTCAACATGCCAAGAACAAAGAGGACAGGTGTGGCGCAATGTTTGTCTTTGTGTTGAAAGTATAGAAAAGAACAACCAAACTGTGGCGCAGTGGACAGGTCCTTGATGTGTTGATCTCAAATGTTCATGCAAGTTCAAACATGTTCTACTCTAAAATCCTCCCCTTTTTCCTTAAACGTTTCCTGTCATTTTCTACTGTTTGTGTGTGTGTGTGTGTGTATAACATTTTACACACGCACACAATAAGTACAAATGGTAACGCTTTACTTGAAGGGGTGTGCATAAGACTGACATGACACCTTCATAACCATGACATGACATATGTCTTGAATATGAAGTAAGGTTTATACATGTTTATGACAACTGTAATAATGACATTTTGAATGCAAATATTAAGTCTTTGTTAAGACATCTTGACATAAACCATAACATAACCTGTCAGTGTCTTTGTCAGGACAACTTGACAAAATTAAGTTAAACTGTCATGTGGTTGGCTTTGACATTGACATCAACTATTTGAATTTCCATTAAAAAGTTATAATGGCTTTATGAGAGCCAATGTCAAAACCAACCACATGACAGTTTAATGTAATGTTAACCAATAAAGCTAGGTGGTTTCTTAAGTTTGATCATTAATCTGCTATATCATGTTTATGACTGGTTGTGATGTAGTAATGTCAAGTTGTCATGACAAAGACACTGACAGGTTACGATGTATTGGTTTATGTCAAGGTGTCATTACAAAGACATCGCAAACAATGTCATATTTGCATTAAAAATGTCATAACTGAGCGAATGGCACTTAAAGGAGCAGTTCACTTAAAAAAAAAACTTTTGCTGATAATTTACTCACCCCCAATGTCATCCAAGATATCCATGTCATTCTTTCTTCAGTCGAAAAGAAATGAAGGTTTTTGATAAAAAACATTCCAGGATTTTTCTCTATATAATGGACTTTACTGGTAACCAAACGGTTCAAGGGCTTTAAATGATTCCAGACGATGAATAAGGGCCTTATCAAGCGAAACGATCGCTCATTTAAAAAATAAATAAATAAATAAATAGTTTTATAAGCTCAAATGGTCGCCTTGCTCTGTTCTGTGATGCGGGTTCATGACTCTCCTGTTCGAACTCGAACTCAAATCTTTTCCTGAGTCAATTCATTCTTTTCGTTCATTGAATGAACCAAATGACACGAAAAAAAGATTTGTTCATGTTTCAAGAAATTCGTTCATCATTCGTTCAAACACACGGCAGTAGTTCCAGGCAGGTCTAGACCGCATTACAGTTACATATCACCTCGCCAAATGATTTTAAAAGCTCCTTATAGCGTACAACAGCAAAAGAACCAAAACCCACCAAGCAAATAAATATAGTATAGTTATGTTTTTTACCACTAAATTATGTAAAAAGGAAAAACATACTGTCTTTCTCCCTTTATTGGCTTGTTAACTCATCTTATCAACGCATGGACTCATAGACGTCAGGAAGAGGGTTGTTTTCTTCTCTGGAAAGCAGAGAAATGCCCTTATCAGGCTCTGAAAGAGACTTCTCAACTGCACAAATGTTCAATGTCTTGAAGGAGCTTTCACTTTTCAAAACTGTGGGAGGAATTATATCCATGGTTATCTAAACATCACTGCATTTTAACTGTAACCTATAAATGTAAAAGCAAACATTTCAGACTTGTTTAGCATGCGTGCTACTAAAGCTCATGGGCTCAAATATGAAAGTACAGCTCTGCTTTAATGGCAGAACAGCATTGGTTTGCATGCCCAAGTCAAGAAACACCTCCGCTTATCCAATTTCTCTCTCTTTCTCTCACAACTCACCTTACACACAAGCTTAACGGCTTTGCAGCACCTCAGAACATTTGTGACTGGCAAAACATGCAAATCCAGGAGATTTCATGGGATGCATGTTGTAACAAGCATAAAGCTCCACATCATGTGCATCCTCAAACCAATCACGATTAAAAGAATCCTGCAGTACAAACCTCCTCTCCTTCACACACACACACACACACACACGCTGATGTGAAAAGTCAATATTTAGAGAGTTAACAGCCCAAATCCATGAACATGCATTCGTATTTCTCTCCAGAGTGATAACTCCAGGGCAGAGCCGCTCGGCTGGCTGAACTTGCATTGTAGATAAGTCTAGAGACTGGCAGGGGAAGAACTTCTTTGGGTCTAGCAGGATGTTGAACCACCCTCTGTGAGATACATGCAGTCATTATCGAGCTTGGAAAAATAATGAAGTCCTCCTGTCCTTTGTCTTCTAGGTTGTCTGTTTCCTCCGGCGGGTTTCTCCATAATTTATCAGCGTTAAGCGGTTCGAATCGATGTGCATAATCAAGCAATTAGAATGCAGAGCTAATTAAAGGAGATGTCCCCCTCTCTTTCGCCCTCGTCTCAAAGCGAGAAAAGAAAACATAAGTGACGTGAGATAATAACGATAACCGGCCGTGTGATTAATATGGGAAGAGAGAGAATGAGAGAAAATGAAGCTCATAAATTATGCCCAGCTGAATCAGCTTCTCTCTTTCTGTCAAAACCAAATTCGAATACAAAACAATAGAGAGAAAGCTTTCAGTTGTGCTTTTAAGAACTCAAAAACTGAATAGACCAGAGAAAATGTGCAAACTTGGTCAAATTAATGTCTGAATAGAGATCTAATTCTGTTTTCCTTTGATGCTTTCAGTTGGTTTAAGGAACACACAAACATATAATCATTTTCAGGATATTCCAAAAGGGGAAAATGAGATTTTCTTGCCCTATAAAAACCTACTAATTTTTTTAATAAATCGTTTAGTAGGTTTGGCATTTGAATTAAAATTACATCGGCATGTCCTCGTGTATGGGGCGTGGAATTTTGTTCAGGAATCTGACCATACTAGTTGCACGGTATCTGTTTAAAGAAGTGAATCAAGAGCTTGTTCGGGAATCAGGCTACACTGTTTGCACTGTATTTTTGGATTCCCTTAAGATTTCCATTGTTAGAAATACAGTAATACAATTGAATGGTCATGCAACACTCTCATTTTCCCCTGGGACGAGAGAAATCCGCTATTTGACCTTTTTACTTCCTCCTACAATGACGCAAAAATCATCAATTTACGTCATTGTAGGAGGAAGTGTAATGGTGCGTTCACACTGGACGCGAATGATTTCAATGTTAAGTCAATGCAAAGACGCGTTACGCGCGTAAAAAATTCCTGCGGCGCGAATGAGGTGTAGAGCATGGCACGGTAGACGTGAATACGCCTCATTCGCGCATCAATTTTGCAAATTGAGTGTCTGGTGCGTTATGCGCGAATGATTTAGTTAGTGCCATTTGTGCATTCACGCGTTTGACGCGAATTCGCGCCTGCAACCGAATTGAAAAATCTGGACTTTGGTGTCAAATTCGTGCCGCGTTCACCAATCAGGAGCCTGCTGCTTGGACGGCGATACAAAATGCGCAGATGGATGCATTATGGATAGGGTTGGGTACCGAAACGTGGTTGCCAATAGGGAACCGGTTCCGGCGTAAACGGTAATAACCAGACCGAATAAGAATGAAAATTTCGGTGCCTGAGTTTCTGTGTCATGATGCGCACAAACGCAAAGTCTCTCGCTCTCTCCCTCGTGCGTGCACTATACGGTTTGGAGCTCAGTCTGATCTGTCTCGCATGCGCACTCTTGCTCACTCGCTCTAGATTCCGGGAGATTTTAACTAATTTGTGGGCGTCAGGGAGCCGTTATCAATATGTGGGAGATTCCCGGAACGTTTAACGATTTATGAAGATGCCGAGGACAAAACGCTCCAAGGTTTGGCTGCATTTCACGTGTAAAATTATGCGTCATAGTAAGTGTGGCGATTGCCTGAAGCCCATATAGAATCACGGCAATCCATTGACTGATGGCGCGGGCGCCGCCTTGATGCTCTTACATCGTCATATTATATTAGCGCGCATTATCTGATTTCATTGTGTGAAATTTTTTTTTCCAGGCGGTAGCGTAGAGTGGAGCTCAATAGAGTGCCGAAGTGATGACGTTACTTTGTAGGACAACTCAGAAGTTAGCGGTGCATGGTTTCCCTCGATCGAAAAGCTATGCATTTTCCCCATAGACTTTTGGAAAATCGCAAAAAGTAAGATCTGCATTTAACAGAGTTGTGACACTTAGGCTACATAATCATCAAGCTGAGCATTAAGATAATCTTAAATTTAAGTTAATCCAAAATTTATATATTAAGTTAATATAAATAAATATAAAAATATATAAATATAAATTATATAAAAATAAATATATAAATATTAATATTAATATATTAAGCCTATTTTAAGTTTTTAAAAAATACAAAAAGACACAATAAAGTTTAAAAAAAAACACACAAGCAGGTTATAACTGAGTGTTCTATGTCATAGCTCAAAACGTGAAAATATTTAGAGGCTTTGTTAACCACAGACCTTATTTCAGGCGATTTAACAAAAACTATTTTAGTACAGCGTTCCTTTTGCATCACATGTGCGTGTGCGAGAACCATTAACACAACTGAGCGAGAAGCAGTAAACCAGAATTAGACTCCCTTTCCCGGTTGGACAGCGTCTTAAAAGAGCATTCATGACAGTCTATGTGGTGTGGTCATGTGACTTCATGTGCCAAAACGTCAGTTACCAGCACAAAACTCATTTACTACTAACTTATTCAACAACACAACACTTGGGTGGGATAGAGGGGAATGGGACAAGACAAACACACGGTCTGACAGAATGTGGTGTTGTCGTGGGTGAATTATTAGGGCTAAATGTGTTTCTGCAACAGATGGTGTGCTGGAGAACAGGGCAGAGAGACTATGGCCGCCTGGCAGTGTCGGTGTGACAGACAAGGACACAGAGAGCAGAAGAGAGAGAGAGAAAGAGAAAAAGAAGACGTTTAGAGAAAAATAAATCACACTAACCTACAGAGGGAACACAGAAGGGAAAATAAGAAAGTTTGCACTGTCATGAGAGAGACGAATCAATCCTGAGACAGACTTCATAACATTTACGCTGAGAAAAACATTGCAGTGTGAAGTGGAAATTGCAGAGTGTGTTTTTGTATACAGTGGAATCCAAACCTCTGAGACCACATTGAAAATCTGGGACTCAATTCAATTTAACCCTAGAAATAAAAGCAAAAGAAAGGTGATGTATAACGATTTCGAAAGATGTAAGATTCTAGACTATTTCTAGATCACTAATTGAGCCAATTTGTGACTTTGATTGTGTGAGACGTCGTACAAACGGTCAGTTATTCATCCGCTGAAGAACAAGATGCTCTTTGGGTCATTTTCAGATCACATGATCATCAGGTTTTACACAAACTTGGGTTCATGCAGCTCGAGTGCTAATGTTATTGAATAAAAAGATGGACACTCAAATTGTTCAGCTGATAAGATTATTTGTGATTATATAATAATATAAAACTACAAAAAAGATCAATGGACCCTTTTCACATTTCCGAGGGTCTCAGAAGCAGAAATCGTAATAGTTTTATAGTGGTGAACAGAAACTGCAACAAACACATACATATATACATATATATATATATATATATATATATATACACACACATATATATATATATATATATATATATATATACATACACACACACATATATATATATATATACACACACACACACACACACATATATATATATATATATATATATATATGAAGAGTTCAGATGCAAAAGCCTCTAAGTGCCATTTGAAATTTTCTTCTAGAATGATCATTATCAAGCTTGTATATTTTAAATTCAGTAATTTTACTTAAATTGCAATGAAGATTACCTATTAATTGTCATTCAAGTGAAATTACTGAACTTGAATATCTAAGCTTGATAAAAATGATCATTTTATAAGAAAATTTGAAATGGCACTTAGAGGCTTTTGCATCTGAACTCTTCATATATATATATATATATATATATATATATATATATATACTGTATATATTATCCATACAACTTAATAAAGGCCTTTGGAAGCGAATCGAAGCGAAGCGATGCGTTTTGGTAAAAAAAAAAAAAAAAAAAAAAAAAAAATATTTAACTTTATAAACTATAATAACTGGCTTCCGGTAATGGCCATACACGAATTAAGTTCCGGACCGAAGAGTGACCTCTGACCTGACGCATGACGTTTTGATGAACGCAGAAGTGCAGAGGATCGAGCAAATCAAAACAATGCTCATGAAAAAGAAGTCTAAAATGAAAATATTTCAAGTTAAATGTTTGTGGATTTCGATATAATAGAAGAGGAGCTTGAGTTTGTTGCCCAGCTCAATTCAATGAATGCGCTTTTTTGGGCTTCAAAATCTCAGTTGCTATTTACTCCCATTATAAAGATTGGAAGAGCCAAGATATTTAATATAACTCTGTGTTTGGCTGAAAGAAGAAAGTCATATACACCTAGAATGGCTTTAGGGTGAACAGACCCTATAGAAATGTGGCTTTGCAGTCTATGATAAGGGTCACATTCATTAGTGGTCACAGACTTTTGGATCTTTGAGTACGAGTATGTGTTGACAAGTTTTATCCATCCTTGTGCAAGTGGTTACACCGTCATCTCTGATCTTGACCTCAATCAAGTGGACAATGTCATCACTAACACTCAGTGTGAGAGTATGAGTGTGTGTACGTGTGAAGATCCGCAAGGCAAGACAACCTGTCTCCCCATCTGCTGCAGTCTCTGATATCAAAGGTCACTTCTTAGATCACATGACACAAAGCTCTTAACCAGCCATCTGATTTCAGTCAGCCTCTGACTCCAGATGACACCCATCATATCAGAAAATAGAGTCTGTATTTAACAGCAAAGGCCACATAACGTAAAAACATAATGATCCAGACACAAAAGAAACTGGGATGACATGCTCTCTTAACCAAAACAAAAAGCTCAGTCTAGTACAAAACAGCCAGATTCATTTTTGATGAATCTACATGGCAGGAAGTCTCTAACCTTGTGTGCTGAGTCTACTTCATCCTCCAGGCTGTCGGCGGGGCTCTCAGCCATTAGGTTTACCCTGTCCTCCATAGTGTCATCAGGGCTGTGCAGAACCAGGCCAAGACCTTCATCTAGGATGTCCTCTAGGGGGAGCAATGAACACAGACAGGGACTGGGTGAGCAACAAGACCTGGGATGGGGAACTCTGGCCCTCGAAATCCACTTTACTGCAGAGTTTCACTTTTCAACCCTGATCAGACTCATCTGCCTGTAGCTTTCCGGCAATCCTAAGGACCTTGATTAGCATATACAGGCGTGTTTGATTAGGACTGGAGCTAAGCTGCAGGAAAGTGGATCTCGAGGGCTTTCTCTTCATCAAAGAATCCCAAAAAACATATGAAGGTTTCCACAAAGCTATTAAGCAGCACAACTGTTTCCATCATTGACATAAGAAACCTTTCTTGTCAGCTCACTAGAATGATTTCTGGAGGATCATATGACACTGAAGCAGGGTTACTATTGTTAACTAGAACCACAAAAAAAATTTCATTACTTGAAATTAACAAACTTATTTTATTCCCACTACTTGCCAAAGCAACATCTCTCATTTTTGTTTAGTTAAGTTGAAGTAAAACAACTAAAGCCTAAAAAATATATAGACATTTAAATATATATATATATATATATATATATATATATAAAATGACAAAAACATATTAAAATAGGAAATGAGAAAATAAACTATTAACAAAATATTAACAAAAACTGTATATGAATGATACTAAAATAATGCCATCACAGGAATAAATACAATTTTAAAATGTATTAAAATAGAAAAGTTATTTTAAATTTCAAACAATATTTCACAGTAGTACTGTTTAACTGTTTTTATTTTTTTATAAATAAATGCAGTCTTTAATCTCACTGACCACAAACTTTTAAATGGTAACATATAACTAGTAGTACTGTATGTTGATGCACGGTCAAGTTCTAGTGCTGATTTTTATGATTTCAGAATGACTTACAAGGTGGAGTAATGCCTCATCTACTATTGGAAATATATGAAAAAAAAAAAATTAAGACCGTGGTGAAGAGGTTTACCCTGACTCTGGGAAAAGATGTCAGTGCAGAGGTCCTGCGCCCCATCCGATCGTCGGGGAGGCAGCTGGCACAGCTGGTGTGGATCGGTAGCGGGCAGCGTGCTGACAGTCAGGGTGAGAGAGGGCAGAGAAAACGCAGCCTGCATGTCTGCCAGCTCCAAAGCGCTCGCCGGCTTACTGTTCAGTTTCAGAATCTCATCGCCTGCTCGCAGACCTGAGCACACACAACGTTTAACAAAATTGAAATCAAGTTTGTAACCCCTCAAAATTTTGTAACATCACCCAAACACAGATGCAGACAAAAATATTCATGAATTCCTCTTAAAACACTTAAAAAGTCCTTTTTACAGATATGCAAAGAGGTTAATTATTAATGCAAAAAGTTAATTATTCATATAACCATGTTAGATTTGCTGTGTGTGTTGTACAAAACAGGATGAGAACAAAGGGAGAAAACGTGTCTGCTCATCCCCCTTCCTTAATTATCAATTACCAATACAGCTGCTCAATTAGCCTCAAATAGCTCAGTTAACACTCTTTAGGCAGGTTTGCCACTTTAATTGATTATCGATGTCCATGGCCAGCCTCCCAACTCTTTCTGGAGCTGAATTTGCCCCTCTGTTTCTGAGCTTTTATGAATGCTGTATGGATTTACACACATGCATGCATGCACACACTGCCTGAAGTGTGACCCAGTTTTACATGAAGCAAAATGTCAGCTGTAATAAAGGTTTTTCATTGGATGGCATGGCTCTGCCCCAGGCAATAGAGTGATGATGAATGTTGGGGTGATGTCATCAACAAGCGCCCCCAGTGCTGTGAGTCCAAACTGTCCTGAATTTGAGTATTACCTCCAGCAAGTTTGTCTGTGTGTATTTCACACACACCAATACACGCACACACACTAAATTCAGTTTGGACAGCACATGGTCCTGATGAGCCAATTCTTTGTTGGGACACTAGACACTGTCCACTTGTATTTACATCCATCTGCCTTACTATTCATCCAGACAAGCATTGTTTTGTACACTACCACTTTTGCAAGGCCTTCCGGGTAGAATCACTAACGATACTGAAACAAAACCCTGCTGAATTTTTTTTTTTAAACCAGCCTTATACCTAACTTGCTAGTCTAAGCTTAGGTTTGGGGCAATTTTCAGCTAAACCAGCTGAAAACCTAATGGGTCAGGAGGATGGACGACTATCTTAAACAAGCTAAGACCAGCATTAGGCTGGTTTAGGCCATCCTTAAAAACACTCTTGTTTGCCATAACCCGACCGACCATTTAAAATTAGGACCGATCCAATTTTTTTTTTTTCCTTTTAGTCCGACCGACTTGCCGGTTGTAAACTTGCATTAAGACCGACCACCAAATAGGCTCATTTTACCACTCCCCCAGAGTTAAACAGTTTGGTTTTACCGCTTTCGAATCCATTCAGTCGATTTTCTGATATTTAGAAGAACATCAGTAAGCAGATAGTTTCTGGTCTCATTGACTTCCATAGTAGGAAAAAAATATACTATGGAAGTCAATGAGACCAGAAACTGTCTGGTTACTGATATTCTTCTAAATATCAAAAAATCGGCTGAATACATTCGAAAACGGTAAAACTCAACTGTTTAACTCTGGGGGAGTGGTAAAATGAGCCTATTTCCAAAAAAAGTGGAGTATCCCTTTAATAGGCCTATAGTTTCTACAATACACTTTGCCATTTGACCGCACTGATTTCCGTTAATAATAGCAGAGGTTTATGGGTCAAATGTAAACGAATGGTGCCAACTGCCAAATGGCCTGTTTTATTGGTCGGCGTGGGTGAGATGAGTCATTTAATTTATTTGTTTCCCTCTGAAAATACACTTTCATTGAAATCTAGTGGCTTTTAAAAAAATGTATTATTGATTCTGCCTATTTTTTTTCCTAATCAATGCAGCTGGAGTTAATGCAATAAATATGTTTTTTGACAAAGATTTCAAACCTGTATCAGAATGATGTTTGCAATGGTGTGCCCGAAGGCATGGGTTAAAGACCCAGTCAGTGACGTCACAAAATGCAAATGTGTTTAAATTCATATCCGACATAATCGCCATGACCAAAATAGTCCTTTTTGTCTGCTATTACTGCAAACCAAAACATTTTTAAGGATGGCCTTAAATGGGTTTTTGCAGCAGGGAAAGTTCATGCTCTTTGTATACTGTGCATTCAGTCACACAGTTTTAATTATTTGGGGTTTAGCAAAAATCCCCGACCCTTAGTATAAGCAATAATAATAGCGATGCTTATCTTAGAAAGCGCCACTAATTAATTATAGTTCCATATAGCTCAATAACTGGACTTCCTGGAACAGAGAGTATCGGAACCCGTTCTAAAGGTTGCTCTTAATGAGTGCACTCGCTTGGCACAGATATCACTGGCAGTGTGTAATGATTTTAATTTGCTCCTCTTAGTAATCCTGTGCTCATGTGAAAGCTTTTTAAATGATTTTCCTCCAGTCCAGTGGAGATTTGGGTCAGTCAACTCAGTTCAGACTCATATTCCCCTGCTAATTTCTCAGCAGTTTTACAGACTACTGCAGGTGAGGCGTTTACCGTGGGAAGGACGGAATAAGGTTTTGATTTGGACTTGGAACAGCTGCCGAATAGAGACTAGTATATACATAATCTAGGAACTGTTTTCATATAAGCATCCCGTAAACTAAAGAGAAATGCATTACCAAACTAGATTCTAATCTCTTTGAAGTAAATTCTTATTTTTAGCAATCACTCTATCGCAGAATGACTGTTGTGTGTCCAGTTTCAAAGTATCTTCCCCAACACTGTATATGGCTTGGCTATAATGAAGAACAGCTATCTGTTGAGTTGCATCACACACCTTTGGCGAATGCCAGACCTCCGGCTTTCGCATCAGTGATATGAAGCTGCTGGCGTCCATCCTCCTCTACTACGGCCACTGAGAAACCTGGATGAGATAGAACGAGAGATAAACCGAACAATCAACTGGAACAATCAACTGGAATAAAAACTGAAATAAACTAAAACAGTATTGTTACCATAGCCTATGGCACAGGACTCATCTCTATCAAACTGGATGACTTTGTTTGTCTTGGCACAAATTTCAATTTCTTTGAACAGCTGAACAAAGGAAGAGAGAGAGAAAGAGTCATATTGTACTCTTAGGATGTACAGTTCATTTACAGTATGAAAGAGCTCATATTAATCATTGAAAATGTCTTAGTCTGCGTAAATTCATGGCGTATATATGCTAAATAAAAAACAGCCGATTCTCAAGAGAGCCTGAGACAAAACTGAGGCTTTGATCATTTCAGGGATTATAAAAGTAGGAGAAAGTCAAGTCTCTACAGAGAGAAAGTGAAAAGATGAGAGGAGACATGGAAAACGCAAAGATTATCTGTCATCTAAGAAGAGCAACCATGAAAAAAAGAGCTAAGTAAATTAGCTTTTGAGGTTGCAAAGTGGTTGCAGAGGTGGTTTTCCCCAGACTCCACAAACACACACACACAGGGATAGAAGAACTGTTCAGAGTGCATTATGCACTACATGCATCTTCTACATAATTCATAACATATGCAGCAGCCTCAAGGCTGTCGGAGAGTTTAGAACATCGCAGTCAGAACTTTAAAACTTTATACTATCTGCGGCACATTGCAGAGCCCGTCACAGTCTAATAAATTCACCCCACGCTGAGTCTGTGACCGCTAAGCGCTCTTAACTGTCCAGGAAACGCTGTGGCCACTGACAGGCTCTCTTCGTTGGACTCACCAGGTCACAGAGGTCCTCCTCAGGCTTGGGGACATACAATTGCAATTGATTGTCGACAAGGAACTTCAACCGTATATAGTGCTTGGAAAGATCCAGTTTGTGAGCCTGTGAAGTGAAAAAACAAGTTTGTGTGGTTGTAATCACTTTCTTATTAGCATTTGTGTATTTATACACTAAAAATTGTGTAAAAAAGAAACTTGTTAGACTGGTTGGATTTGCGCATTAATGATCCCTTAAATGGCAGCTCACTGTGGTCTGTAGCCTATGATCACTCAGCAGGAAAGATGGGGGATGGATAACATGGCTCAAGCCCTCAAGAGATTTCTGAGGTTATGAGCCTTGTTCAGACCCCTGTGTCTTTCATATAAAAGTACTGAATAACCTCGTCAAAAAAAAAAACGTTTTCTTTGTCCCAATGGACCAGATAGGACATGGACTTGCAGCTGTTTATCAGTTCATAACATGCTATCATAGTCAAAGTCTTAAGTTTGAGGAGAACCAGGAAGTAAATTATAATATACTATAATATATTAACACTAAATATAAACATAAACTGTAAGACTGTACATTATCCCACTTACATGGTTACTAAACAAGTGAAAAAGGTCATACATTATTGTTTTATTGAAATATATATTAAGAAAGAAGAAGAAAGTGGACACTGTGAGATGACATGACATATATTTGACTACAGAATGCTGCAACTGACCAATCAGAATAAGGTATTCCAGAGAGCTGTATAAAAAGAAAGATGAGGAAGTCGAAATAAATATCAAGAAACTATTTACATTCAGCAATAAAAGTCAGCATTTAATCCGGGCTGTTACTTACGACCATCTTAAAAGGATTTAAAAAATTGTCCATGACAGAGGATGTTAACTTTATGTTCTCCAGTGAATTGGTTAATATTTTATTTCAGGGCTTGACAGAAAACCATTTCAGGGATTTAGTGCGGCCACTTAATTGCAGGATAATTTATTTATATTTCTTTCTGCTACAGACTATCTAAAGAGATGCATGTAGATGACCAATAAATGGAAATACTGGACAGAGCATCTGTAGTGTGATTGCTTTACTGGCATTCAAGTTTGAATAAGACGTGGTGTGTTATCTACATAAATGCTTAAAGACATATTTACGAGAAGTGTGGATAAGAGCATTCTAGAACACTCTACTACAGCGGAATGATAACAGGAAGATAACCGCAAGGAGAAATAATTCACTGACACTTCAGCAGTTTGCCTTGGGAAATGGAAAGTTCTAGTACTTTCTCAACAACTCCTCCATCAAAGGAGGGGTGGGCAAGTTTCGTGTTTTCAGGAAATGTGTTACATGAGATGTTTGCTATGGATGAATCATAAGATTACTCTGCTTTGATGATATTGAAGTGTGTTTTAGGTATTACAGTTCCTCTTCATTGTTGCAGATGGGCTGCAAGTTGACTGTATGGTGAAACTGTGATCTTGTTTGCAAAAGAACCAAATGGCACAGCTGACATATCTGTAGCTAACACCTCATGACAAAAGATGACAAGCAGGACAAGAATAATCAATTATGTTTGAACTACTTTTTCAATAATCATATATAATATTTCTGAGGTAACTTTCAAGTGGCTGTGGCTATATATACTAATCTTGTCACAATCATAGATATCCATAATAAAGGCTAGATGTCTTATGGCGGAGTCTCTATCGTCATCACCGGCGGCCATCTTGTCACAGGCAAGCTTTCTGGCAGGCTCCGTGGTCCCTGATAAGTGATCAGCACAAACACAAATACTCTTATCTCGTTGAAATCTAGACGGATTTACACATGGTTTGGTTTCTTACAAACGTTATTAACGTGGCTATAATTCTGGATGATTATTTATTTATACATTTATTATTCAGAAATATGCAGTGTCATAACTATAACAAACCAAACCGTTTGAAAATCGGTAGAAAATTGATCAAGACATGGTTATTTAAAAACTACATGCACCATTGACACACAATGTTACGAGTGAGCGAGCTGCCTGTGACAAGATGGCCGCCAGTTGCGGACGTCGACCTCCATTGCCTAGCAGCGCAGAAGAGACAACTGGCCTTTATTATGGATATCTACGGTCACAATAACGTAGGCTGATTCGTATATCAGGCAGACACAGAAATTATGTTGGAAGAAAGCATGGTTAAAATAGGTAAGATAAGAATGTAGCATCCAGTTACCTGCCTCAACTTCAGTTTAAGCGGATTCAAGGTAATCTGTTTGATTTGAAAGGTTTTTCTTGCGAGTACCCATGACATTTACCCTGCACAGTGACTCCAGGGCCTCCATGGTTGTCTCCCCCGGTTGTATGATAGCCAACACAGGTCGATCGTCAGGTAAAGAGACCCAGGATGGCGTGAGGTAGTCAGGCACCCAAACTTCATTGTCCGTCTTGTGTTGGGGGAGGCTTTTCACCGAACCCTCTTGGTCCTTCTGCTAAAACAATAAAAAAAAAGAAGTAAACTGTTTTTGAATGTGCATAATGTCAACTTGAAATGGTTTTCACAACCTATTTAACTAGTGGCGGAAAGAGTGGCTATGCGCTATATGCGGCGCATAGGGGCGCAGCACCATGGGGGCGCCAAAGCGATGGTAAAAAATAAAAAAATGTAAATTTGGGGACATACTGCTATGCAAACTACCAATACCATCAATTCATTTTATTTTTAAATAATAGCCAAGCTGACAGTAGATATCTATATATATTTTATATTGCAGTATACTATATTTTATGGTTAAGTTTACTTTACTGATACCGATATGACTGCAAAAATATTGTGCAATCCTGAAAAAAGTAGGACAGAACTTGATTTCAACCACCAGGAATTATATTTTATTTTTTACTATTTTAGTCTGTTTTATTATATGACTGCCGATATATTACCCAATCCATCGGGAATTGCTTGGATTGATTGGTTAACATTAACTAATAGCCCACACATCTTAAATGCTGTCACCCAAAAGGAAAATTTTGCAATGAAGATTGTTTTCTTTTATTTTTACTGATAATCGTTGTACAACACCACCAAAAACATTTATTGAGAAAGTAAACAGCGTCAATTTCATGTTGATGAATACTAAAATGCATTAAAGGTGATTACCACAAGACAATATCACAAAACCTCTGAATGCAGATTTACTGAGGTGTCATTTTCCTGGTTATATTTGCACAAATTGGGCTTATCACATTTAAGCAGGGCTGTCTGGATCGATGCAGCAGACAATGTGATGATATCTAATCTGATACTAATTAACCTGGCATCCAAGCACAGCAATGTGCAAGGCAAGCCCAGTGCAAAACTCAGCGCCTCTGTCTGACAACGGCGCAGTTAGTCTGGCGGGTGATCGATGGGTTGATGTGTACCGGCTGGGAAGTGCATTGTGGGCCTTTCGGGGGCTCTTTGGTCTGTCAGCGGGTCTGGCCTGCTGTCAGTGACGGCATGCTGCCTGGCTCAGATAGCTTATCCCACACTATCGGGTGACAGCCTAGCACCCTCCCCTTCCCCTCAACAATCTGCCCACAGAGTAGCTGTGATGGTGGTCCCCCATCATGGAAAGACAGCAAGCCCACACATGGTGAAAGAGAGCGGGAAATGGGTCAGTGGGACTTAAACACACTCACAAACTGGCAGACAATACATTATACACTCCAACATTCTGTCAATCATTCAACTCACACACACGCACTCCCCTCCCAAAACACCCGCCATCTGCCTCCTCTCCTGGCTGTTAATGGACGTGCCGGGTGGGAGAGGAGCCTCGGCCTCCCGCCGCTTCTCTCAGAGGGCCTGCAGCCCAGCTTGGGTGACTTAACTCTCTCTCTAGCTCTTTCCAGTTCCCATTGGGAGATCCACACAGCATTAACATCTCGGTTCTTAAGCGTTCTGCCTTTGACAGAGTTTTAATTATGTAAAGCATGCTGTGAACTATTAGCGTCGTCCTCACCAGTGTCTCCTTTCCAGCGTCCTCAAACATGTGCTCGAGATTCCTCTTAACCGGCTCTTCCCCGTCTACGAACACCTTAGGTTGAGACAAAACAACAAGTTGAGACGAATTTGGAGTATCATCTGCGAAATAGCATGTTATGGATGGTTCAAGGGAGGATGAGATCATGAACCTTCAGTTGGGTCGCACCATAAATGTGTGAGATGATTTAAAGGTATTTTAATGTACTTATACCACAAACAAACTAAATAAACAGTGATTCGTTCTATTGAGAACATGTAAAATGTGCCATAAACAGACTGTAGCAGATGTCTAGCAGATGTGAACCTGGTTAATGCTGGGGTCTGCCTTTGGTTTTCTTTTTTGAGGTAGTGTCCAGACCCCATAGAGAGGAGAATCGGCTCTTCCGTTTACTGGAGGAACGAGACAGGGCTTGGGTACGTTTCCGAATTCCCCCATCCGTCCTCGCTGCCACCTGTGCAACACAAACATGCATACAGAAAGGCAATAAACATCGAAGAGAGTATCAAGCAGTTTTAAAACATTTAGCATTTATGGAGTCAATCTTTAAAGGGGAAGATCACCCAAAAAATAATGGGAAAATGCAGCATAAACACTGTTCAAAATGTCTCCTTTGGTGTAAAGGAGTAAAACAATATTTGTGGACTAGTCTTTAAAGGGTTAGTTCACCCAAAAATGAAAATTAAGTCATTAATTACTCACCCCCATGCTGTTCCAACCCCGTAAGACCTTCGTTCATCTTCGGAACACAAATGAAGATATTTTTGATTGAATCTGAGAGCTGGATCAGTCCTACATAGACTGCCTAAGGGGACTGGCTCATAAAGTCATTAAAGAAAAGGTTAAAATATTCCATGTGCCTACAGCGGCTCAATTATAAGTTTATCAAGCGACGAGACTACTTTTCGTGCGAAAAAAACATAAATAACGACTTTATTCGACTATTCCATTACTTCCTTATGGGCGCATGCGCGAGAACTGAGACGAGGACGTTCTCCTTCGTCTACTTCTTGTTACCGGCTGCTCACCGCTTAGGAGTTTTACCGCCACCTACCGTATAAAATGATGATCCATATATAAGGCGCTCCAGATTATAAGGAACACTGTCGTTTTTTGAGAAGATTAAAGGCTTTTAGGTGCACCTTATAGTGCGGAAAATACGCTAATTGAAAAGCGTATGTACACCACGCATCTTCCTCTGCTTGTAAACAGAAAGTTTTGCGCTTCCAGCTATATCAGCACATCATCTTATACGGTAGGGGGGCGGTAAAACTCCTAAGCGGTGAGCAGCCGGTAAAAAGGAAGTAGACGAAGGAGAACGTCCTCGTCTCAGTTCTCGCGCATGCGCCCATAAGGAAGTAATGGAATAGTCGAATAAAGTCGTTATTTATGTTTTTTTCGCACGAAAAGTAGTCTCGTCGCTTGATAAACTTATAATTGAGCCGCTGTAGGCACATGGAATATTTTAACCTTTTCTTTAATGACTTTATGAGCCAGTCCCTTAGGCAGTCTATGTAGGACTGATCCAGCTCTCAGATTCAATCAAAAATATCTTCATTTGTGTTCCGAAGATGAACGAAGGTCTTACGGGGTTGGAACAGCATGGGGGTGAGTAATTAATGACTTAATTTTCATTTTTGGGTGAACTAACCCTTTAAATGTTTCACCAATTCCATGAATAGTGAGATCTACTTAGTATCAAACATTTATGCAAGAGACAAAACAGTATTATTTAGGAAATAATGGCTCTTGATGGTTGTTCACACCAAAAACTATAACTATAAAGTCTAATTTTAAAAGAATAGCAATGTCCACCACACTTATAATGATAACGACACAACGAACAATATTGGTGTAATCACTTTCAGAAATTCTTTAAAACATTAAAAAGCCAGTCAGAATCCACCCAACTTCACAGAGCTCGAGCGCCAGACAACATAACTGCAGTTTCATGTTAATGTCTGTTGCTGTGGATGCTAATCTAGTTATTTTTATAATTATCATTCTTGGTGTGAACAGGCCTTTACTCTGCCTAGATGTTTTAGCCTTCATTGATTTTAAACAGCCTCAGTGACTCTGTGAGAAAATATAAGGAAAAAGAAGGGAGAAAAACACCCCTTTGCCTTTAGGCTTCAAATGAAGATCAGTGATGGGAAAAAATCTGACACCATGACTCATTTCAGAAGCAGTACACACACATAAACTGCCATGGTGTGGAGATGTCCTGTTCACACACCCCGACACGAAACCACACTGACATTTCTGGGATAATAAACGTTAGTGGTCACAGAAGCCATAAAGGATTTCCTCAGTAATCAGTCTGTATGGAGGATTTCCCATAAGCATAAAACCTTGGTAGTTTAGGTGACATCTGCAGTACAATGTCTAAAGACAAATCCTGTGGCTTGCTTTATAAGAGAAAAGAAACAAGAAAGGAAATTGTATAAAAACATTTAAGGTTTAAGACAGTGATTAGAGATGATGCTTTTAAAATACAATAACAAAACCATTTCTCTCTTCATTATGTAAAAACTCATTGATTTTCTGTCAAATTTGGTTTCATTTACAAGGAACTCAATTAGTTACGCACTAAAATGGGAGTTGCTTTTCTACACCACACTGTGACGCCTGAGGTGAGGTCATACAGCTGCATGTTACGCCATTCTGTACGTTCTCTGCTGAGCCACAGGAATGACAAAAACACGATGACGACAGCATGTTTTGTTATGCAGTTTTTGTTAGGACTTATGCCAAGAACAGGCTGGCAGGCAGCTCAGAGCTCACTGGGCTCTTGTGGAGTGGATTAAACTTGAAGAGGATGTTAACTAAACGTGTGAACGAGAAAAGATGTGTGTGACAGAGAGAAAGAGAGAATTATGCACTGTTTTGAGCATGGAGGTTTGTGGGAGTGGATTTCATACCAGGGCATGAAATGATGATACTGAAAAAATGCCAAGACGACCCATGGACAGTTTGGTGGGGCGGGAAGCAACAGCAAGTAGGCGTTTTGGATTTGGAAGCTCGCCGCCCTGCAGGCTGGACAGGTAACAGCGATACCGGAACATGTCCATATGAAACTGCTCCAAATTCTGCTCCCAAAGGAATATCTGAACAAAAGGAAAGAAGATTTAAGGTTTTTTTTACTCTGTTAGTACTTAAAAATGCTCTGCATTTGCACACTGATGAGGGCCCTTAAGCTGCTGACTATTAGAGTGTGGGAAGTGTAACTTATTAATAGGGTTTTGTTTACTGCAGGAGAATGCTGGTATAAATCATTAGTCAGCAGGCCTCCTCCAAGCCAGCATGACCTGCGTCTATTCAGAGACCACGGAGGAGTATGCCCACCTCCACACCAACAGACAAGTACATCACACACACAAATAAGTGAATAGACACGTATTTACACATTCATCTTTTATGTAAGTGGAATCAAATCACGTCAGTCAGAGATTAGTTTAGTAGCCACATTAAAAAGAAACTGCACAAATATACGAAGAGTTCAGATGCAAAAGCCTCTAAGTGCCATTTGAAATTTTCTTCTAGAATGATCTTTTTTATCAAGCTTGTATATTTAAGTTCAGTAATTTCAGTTAAATTGCAATGAGGATTACCTATTAATTGTCATTTAAGTGAAATTACTGAACTTGAATATATAAGCTTGATAAAAATGATCATTTTAGAAGAAAATTTCAAATGGCATTTAGAGGCTTTTGCATCTGAACTCTTCATACAGTATCATCACAAAAACACTAAATCTTTATGCGCTAGTTAATAAAGTAAACCAGCATTAAAGCATCATTTCAGCAGAGTGTGTGAATAGGTAAAGGTTAATAGTTTATTGCCTGGTTTCACAGTAAGCGATTTTCTAAGAAACACTTTTGATACTTGTAATCACCAAAGCAAACACGCCCCTACCCAAAAGGATCACACCCCTATATTATTAGCTCCACCCCCAAATTACAAAACGCCATGCAGCACAGGCAACTCCCTCCTCATGAGTGGACACGCCCCTTACTGCTGATTGGCTGCAAGTGTGCTTTGGTGCTCAGTCCGATCTACTTTCGGCCTATCCCAGACTAACATGCATGTTTGACCAGTAACGTATTTTCTAAGGCATGGTCATAAAAGCTACTTAAAGGTCCTATTTTAACCAATGCCTACTCCTTGCTTAATGTAAGCCCTGTCTGTGAAACCAAGGGTAAACTTGAGGTTAAGCTTTAATTTAATTTAATGTTTAAATTAATTTTTATTAACTGGCTCAACCAATGGCTTGAGTTTCGAAAATATATCTTTAACCAACCATTGGTAAATACCAAAGCCTAATCCTAGAAATTTGCATTTGTGGTCGATGCATACCTGCTCCAGGATAGTCTTCCTCTTCTTCCCATCCGTTACAGCAGAGAGCTGCATTTCACCCATCTTCTTCATTTTCTCATCCATGTCGATCTTCTGTTCAAGCTTCTTGATCTCAGAACGCAGCAATCGTACCGTGTCCTCGTGGTGGTGCTGCCGGGCGACGACCGCAGCGCAAGCTGAGTGGATGGCGGTTATCCAGTTTTCAAGCTCTGTTTGACCTGATGTCTAAAATGAAGTAGATCAGACCATTACATCTATAGGATGCCCACTGGTATTTTGGCAACAATAGGGAAAAACAGTATCTAAAAATTGGCACTCTAGGCATATAATCTAGGCATCATTTTATCGCCAACAACAAGATACTTTCAGCACTAAACTTTTTTTATTTTTATACCAAATGACAGTCTCATAAATTTGATTGTCAAGCCTGACTACTTAACCTTTAAGAATGTCACATGGTAAGTAGGATGCTGTCACCTGTCACAGAATAAAATGCCACTGAGCATAAATCCACATAAATTTAGAAATATCATTCAGCAGTTTTTAATGAAACAGTGGACCATGTGTATTGAGGTCGGACAATTCTTTATCAACTGGATACAGGTCATCATAAATGTATGGAATGAAACCACGCCAAGGATTTCAAATAATACCCTGAAAATTCTAGATTTTAAAAGTAACTGGAATCACATTAATATTAGTCTTTTGAGATTTGTCAAGACTTACCTGGAAGAGAAAGGCGTCTCCCAGTGCATTGCTCAGACAGAACACGAAGTCTTTCTTGGGATGTTCTGGTACAGCCTGGACAATGCTGTTCTCCACCCAGACTGCATGTTTGTGAATGCTGTTGTGATCAATCCCTGAACGCCCATCCGTTTCGTAGAAAAACAGAGTGCATCCTTGGAGAAAAAGTTGAGAAGGAAGATCAGAAGACATGTAACTGGAAATGTAATACAAGTTTCAGGATCTTGATTCATCTACATGAAGCAGAACTGAGGTGATTATCTGCTCCCCACAATTGTCATAAGATAAACAGCTGTGTAAAGGATGTTGTCGGTGATAATTATATTTAAAGCGTATGGGACGAGCTGCATTAGATTTAAAGGAGTAGTTCACTTTTAAAAAAACAACTTTTGCTGATACTTTTGCTGACAAATTTATATAATGTCTTTCTTTCTTCAGTCAAAAAGAAATTAAGGTTTTTGATGAAAACATTCCAGGATTTTCTCCATTGGGCACCAGACGGTTCAACGTCCAAATGAGAGTTTCAGACAATGAATAAGGGTCTTATCTAGCGAAACGAACGGTCATTTAAAAAATAAACAAAAAGTTTAAGTTTTATAAGCACAAATGCTCGCCTTGCTCTGTTCTGTGATGCACGTTCGTGACTCTCCAGTTCGAACTCGTTCATGAACACGAACAAATATTTTTCGAGTAATTTGGTTCATTCAACGAATGAAATGAACGATATGCCTCGAAAAAATATTTGTTCATTTTGATGAACGAGTTCGAACAGGAGAGTCACGAACGTAAAAGTGAGTTTTTTTTAAAAAGTGAACTAATCCTTTAATAGATGTCAAAAGGTTTGTAGAAAAGTCTTTACATAACTTGATTATGGTTCTGACACAAAGGATGACCAACAATTTCTAGTATACTATTTTGTGTTTCTTTACAATAGCAACTGCTGAAAGAAATGTCTCTAAAATTAGATTGAAAAGTCAAGGCAAAGGTACACGCATCAAATAGCCGGAAACCAAAAGCTCAAAGTTAAAAAATAAACGTTTATTAAGGTTTGGTGTAATAAGCCCGATGTGAAATAGCAAGTGCGTGATATTTAATAACTGAAGCAGGATCAAC